AATGACAATTGGGGTGCTTACAGGAATTTGGTTGGTTGATAATTGGAAAAGGATGGAAAGAATGAATAGTGTGGGAATGGGTTTAGGAGATTACTAGCTCATCCAAGACATCAGCTTACTGTAAATGTGTTCTCGATGTTCCTCACACCCTTTTTCCAGTTGCTAGCCCTGATCATTCTCAACAAAACTCATGTTTAAATGGCTCTGAACATTTACTCCCAATGCCTCCACTGTGCTGTTGGCACAGTGAGGCTGCAACAGGATTAGTAAGATGTCCAATGTTAATTTGAGATTTTTATCAAGCAAACGTCGACAATGTGAGAGAAATTTATTTTTGCTGTCTGCTACTTTAAAGAACCATTTTGTGCATTTAGGCCTGACAGCCATCTAATCCCTGTCATCAATGCTAAAGTTGCACAGAAATGTTTCTGCTTGTCAGCGGTGCGGATCCTGTGGGTTCAGATTTCTTTTCTCCAAGATTAATGTCAGCTGCTGTTTTCTTAGAATTTAGGAAGAGATTTGAGATTGATGTCAAAGACCTATTCCTCCCTTCAGCTAGTTGCTGTGGGTCTCTTTTGGATAACGTGACTGCATGTGTGTTCACTGGACACCAAGCAGTGATAGAGTGTCAATGCCATCACAGTTTACAAGGGGCACATTCTCTTTTCTGCCTTTTAATAGGTCTGGTGTTTTTTGTTTTGCTTTGCTTGTTTTTTTGGTTTTGGCAGCTGATTTTGCTATAATGCTTGACCACTTGTATGGCCTGCCTGAAGCAAAGAATACAGGAGAGGCTGCCTTTGCACTTTTTAGCAATGTCCTGCCTTCCAAAAAGAACCCACTTTGCAAGATAAGTGTTTATGCACATATTTAACCTGCCTGCCCATCAGTGTTTTCAGATAGGTTCTTAATACTGGTGTCTGAAAATGCATAAGCAAAGATACAGAGGATCAAATTCTGTATTGCATATGTGTTTGTTTAGATCTGTGCTATGGATGCTATCTCATTATTGCCCACTGGCAGGATATACTCGGTTGCTGTAATATGGAAATGATTTTCTTCTTGATTCATATTTTTAATAAGTCATTCCAGCATTTTCAGTAAAAAAAAAAAATCTTTATCAGACAGCTGTGAGCCACAGACTTTTATTGGCAAGAACAGTGAAATTTATTTAGCTTGTTCATAATTTATTTGGGGAAAAAAATCTCCCCACTCCATTATGGAATTGTTCTCTGTTACTTGATCTAATTTATTCCTTACAGCATTAGATTACTTGTACTATTAGGGCATTGTGTGTCTCTGAGCTGATACCAAGTCTGGTTTCTGTCCTCACTCTTGGTTTAGATGCTCAAGTCAACAAGCAGAAGTTGTACATTCTTCGTATTTAAAAAAGAGGGTTGCACTTGAATAAACAAGAGCTTTAACCAGATGCATTGCTCTAACAAAAGCTCTAATGTTAAGGATGCCATAAGTAGTTTAGATTGCATTTTAAGCTGCACATTGTAATTTAGTGGCTCCTAATAGTGACTCAGATTTATTGCAGTACTAGCTCTGTCCATTTGTGGCAGTATGTTAAGCACATATAGATCTTCCATCATGGATAAGTGTGAGATGCAAAGCATGGGAAAAGAAAGCAATCAGTCGTGTCTGACCTAGTTGCCCCTTTGATTTGTACAAATTTGTGCTCAGATGAGATATGGTATTTGAAGCAAGACATATCAGGTTGAATGTATGGGTTTTGAAAAGAGTAATTATATGAAAACTGTACAAAATTTTGATAGTTATATGGTACACCAATGATTAATTAACACCCTTGGATCCAAGTAGCAAGGGGGGTGTGATTGGTCCAACCCAAGACAGGTATGCAGAATGGATAGAATGGACAAAAACATTTACTGGCTATTCTAATTATAGTACTATTTGCTGAATTTGACAGCTGATTGTAATTAGGGCAATTATATCCTGCGCTCAAAAAGCAATTCAACCTGAATTTTCTGCACTGTATATAGTTTGCAGAATTCCATATTGCTAACTATGAAGGCATTGATGGGGAGCCATGGAGGGCAGAAGGACTTCCCTTTGTATGTTCTTACTCGGTTTGGCTTATCTTCTAATTTCTGAGAATTCCTCAGGCACTATTTGCATATGTGTCAAGCCTGTCTTCACAATCATAAGGACCAGAAACCTGATTTTTTTTAAGGAAAATTATGATCTTTCAGTATTCTACTCATGTTAGAGCTAGATAGTGCTATCCATGAAGTTCGTTGAGTGACCTTGAGCAAGCAGATCTGTTGAGCTTGGTCTATTTTACAGGGTAGTTGCCGTAGTAGAATTGAATAATCCTGTACACTTCTTGGAGGGAGGACAACATACAAATATGTGCAATAATATCATGGAACACACAAATCCTTAGATCTAAGCCTCATTAAGTGTTTAGATACAAGCCTAACTTGGATAACAACCCGTTCTGAGGCATGCCCATTTGGTTGTAAATCCCATTGATTTCAATAGTGCTTTTTCTAAGTTCAGAATTACAGGCAATAAAGTATACAATTAAATGTGATTTAGTTAGGTAGGCAGGGGGTTCACTGCATGGTTGTATATACATTCATTTTAAAAGTTTCAGTGCCTGAGAATATTGAAGAAAATGTTAGGTTTTCTAACTTTATTAATATTGCTCATTTCCCCAGAAGCATCTCTCCTTTTTTGGACAGACTGAACAACAACAAGCAAATGTCAACAAATACCAGCATAAGCAATGCATTCACCCCTCCCTTTCCATTACTTAGCATTCATTTGTGAAGATACATTCTGATTAGATTTGTTAGCTGAGATCTTAGTATTCACTGATACGTTCTTGATAGTTCTGGATGTGACAGCTTTGCTGTTGTGAAGAGCATAGGCTACTGTTGTTTCAGGCCTTCTGCCCTCTTTTTTGAAATTGTACTGAAATGAGGTCTATGGGGTTGATGAGTCCTACATTTCTATAGGTACCCTAGTGTCCACAGGGCTAAGTTCCAGGAAGTGTGAAGCAGAGGGAATGTGTTTGTTGGTGTGCAAAAAGTGTACACCATAGGACTGCAGTTGGTTGTAGTTCTGTGTTTACAGATATGCAACTTCACTTCACACAGCCCCATGTTTTGGCACTGCAAGTAGAGATAGGTCTGTCTGTCCATTCTTGTGCCCTTTCCCCCTAGAGTATGTTTCATTCAGGGTGGAATTAAGTTAAATCAAATTTATTTAAATCATGATTCACATCATGAGTCAGTAAGACTAGATTTAAATCATAGTTTTTAACAGAATGTATACGCATGCCTGTGTAGGTAGAGGAACTGTATTAAAATATTCCCAAACTGGGTCTCTTTTACAGCCTGCTGCCATTATAGGTTTTCTCCACCAGAAATAATATGATAAACCACAGGCTATACACAAAAAGATCCAGACTTGAGCCTCACCACCCTTAGTTTCTTGTGCAGGTCTATTCCGCTCCCAACAATTTTCGTCTATTTAATTTTTTGAAACTTAGCACTTAAGAGGTGAAGAGTTGATTAAGGTTTTTTTTCCCTCAATTCTGAATGTTTATTTTATAACATTTTTGACGTGAAGAAGAGGCATGTGATCTCTGAGAACTGTAAAACCAAGCATCTGTAATAATAGCTTCTAGACAGAAAAATTGTCCAATAACCTTGTAGAAACCTCTGGAAGAACACGACATTGTGATTGGATTAATGGAATTCATTTACTAAAAATTTTAAACACTGTATGAATATACAGCCTCATGCTACATAATTAAAAAGTAATCATTATTTCATGATGTATAATCTTTGGACTACAATGTATCTTAAATAGGAATAGTTTCTTTAGATAGAATTTTCCTCAAAAAACATTTTATTAAAAAAACTCATTTAAATGTTTAAAAATCAGATTTTTTAAAATTCACTTTGGCTTCATTATGTTGTTTAAAGATACATTATTCTGTCTCCGTACGGTGTTGTTAATTGTCAACCCTTTCTGCTGGCTGTATGCCAAAAGGCAGCTTAGTACAATATGAACTGTAGGGTCTCTGAAACCACCCTGTAAAACACTGACGTCTCATTGAAATTCTGCCTACCAACGGCCATTTGCTGAAATTCCATGGTAACACAAGGAGGTTCTGGAAGTGCATGGGAAATGTTGCTTGTATGAGAACTAATTTGGTTTCCCTCAAAGATTCCTTGGATGTTTTTGTCCTGGAGAGGAAATCCCAAATTTGCTTTGAATTACACTAGGTGGAATTTTGATGGCAGTTCTAGCTAACTTCAGTTTTGTTATGGATGATAATGAATAACATTTGGCAATTGTGGAGCACAATTTTAATCAGCGCTGGTAGGTACATTTTAGGATTCAGTCCACTGAAGAAGGAACACTGTTGGGTTAGTTAGTATGTGGGGGGATTCTTCATTTGCTCGTTTGTTGTCTTTTACGCTCACACTAGTGTTTAGTTTAAATGCATCTCCTGAACCTTTCTCTTCCTTAGCGTGGATGTTGTCATAAAGTAGCCTTCCTGAAGCTGATGCCTTCCATTTACCTTCCATATGTTTTGGATTACAAATCCTAGCATTCATGACCAAAGTGGTTGGAGGGCCCCACCTTGAGGAAGGCTAGCAGAGGAAATCAGCTGAGGCATCTGCAGTTCTTCACATGTTTAATATGAATTAGATTGGCTTAGAAATAAAGAAGTAGAGCGGAAGAGGAAAATACATAAACATTTTCTTGACATGATTAATTTTTCTTAACATTAATAAAGTTATTAATTGATTGTATTACTTCATTTCTTAACATTACTAATTAGAGTTATTCTGTGGACTTCTGCATTAGTGGAGTGGTTCCCAGCCTCTTCTATGTCCCACACCCCTAGAAAATGTTTGATTTCTGTTCCGCCCCCGCCCCCCCACAAAAGTAATAACACATTCGAAGACGAAGAAGTCAAGCCAGTGAAACTTTTCTTGTGTTCTGTTTTCTAGCTCACAGTTAATGAAGCAGCTGCTCAACTATGTGTAAAAGATAACGCACTGTTGACCCGAAGAGATGAGCTCTTTGCACTGGCACGGCAAATCTCTCGAGAAGTTACATACAAATATACTTACCGGACCACCAAGTAAGCTCCTTTTTTGGCAAACTAATAGCAGTAATAGGGCTTATTACAAAGGAATTTAAAATCTGTTTTCATTCTTATTGTAATGCAGTCTCTTCACTGATTCTGACAGGAGGCCTTGTTTGAACCCATGACTAACTATAGGTATGATGTGAATGTTTCCACATTCCCACTATACCTGTGACACAGTCATGTGTAGGCATGTGTGGCACAATCTCCCACCTTTTTCGAGGAGACAGATTGCACAACACGGCTGTGCAAACCACTGAATCTCGCATTATGTGTAAGTGTGTTGAGAGCATGAATGTATTTGTGCTTCCTCCGCCACTTTCTAGAAATAATCTTTGCATGTCTACTTTCAAAGCTCAGCTGATGTTCACCTGTGAACAATTCTATGACTTTCTCTCTTCTGACATGCTAATTTTCTTTGGACAGGGAATATTTATACAGAAGAGCATTCAGACATGCAAACTCTGTTTCTACTGATTTCGAACTTCAGTTATAAGCCAATTGTTTGTGAAAGATTGTGTGTAATGCCTAGTTAAATGAAGTGTTTTCATCTCCTAGGTCTAAATGTGGAGAAAGGGATGAGCTGTCACCAAAGAGAATTAAGATAGAGGTATTGTACTTTAACTTGTTCTGTTTAGCCATAATTAGTAGAGTTGACTTGCACAAGAGAAAATAAGCCTATGTTCTGCTGTGTCCCTCAACTACGAACCCCTTAACTGTTGAATTAAGTACGATCTAATTTTTCTAAGGAGTAGAAGGCCATTGGATCCGTGAAGAGAATCTTGTGGAAATGCAGTATTTTATTTATTTTTATTTATTAAAACATTTTTATGCCGCCCCATTCGCCGAAGTATTAGAGAAGAAAATTGGGATATTGATTCAGATGAAATAGATGCAATATGATTACAACTCAGGCTGTATTAAAAATGACTTGAAATGTGCATTTGGCTGTTTTTGGAACAAAAACAATGCAATGGAATGTGTACAAAAAACTCCTGCACATCTGGAGTAGCCCATTCACAGCTGGCCCTTTGTGCACACGGAAACTTTTTTTGTCATGGATGAAAAAGACCTGGCAGATGGGGAGTCCTTCTGCCCAAAGGAATACTAGGGCGGGATGGTCGCTGACAAGAAAGAGAAAAATACCATCTTAATTTTTTGAGAAGACCAAATTCAAGTATTTATTCTTCCAAACAAGACTTGGAGAGAAAATATTGATTTGAATTTAAACATTTCAGTTTAAAATGTGAGGCTCATTATATTACAGAGGTGGGGATCATGTGCTTCTGTAAATGTTGGTGGATTGCAATTCCCAGCATAGCCAGTGATGAAGGATGCTGAGAGTTTGAGTCCAACAGCACCTGGAAGATCAAACATTCCTCATCCCTGTCCTGGTAGAAACTCTTTGTTAGGGATAAAATTGATATCATAAGGTTTCTGTTTGGCTTCTGTCCTGGTAAAGAAAATAAGTCCCGTGTCAAATAAACATTCTTCAATGTAGTTTTCTGGTCTTTCAGCTTTTGTAACTTAACATCCGCTGAACTTTTGAGGAATCTTACTGACAATTTTTTGCATATTATAATTGGTCCTAGTAAATATGCACAAGCTGCGTGTGAGCAAATACAAATGATTTAGTTCCACTTTGTTCCTTGGTTCATGCTATCGGAAAGCCACAATGAGCTATAATGTTTTATTATTATGTGTGAACTATGGTTAACTGCTTCTAAACAAGCCAGCATTTATAAGCCAACTTGAATGTTTTCTTGAATTGCAGAGGAATTTTTTTGGCTTAACATCCAGCACAGCCAGGGTTGTTGAGTTAAAGGGTGGTCTGAGTGGAGGTTTTGTTCTGTTAATAAGAGACCTCAAGGTAAATAGTTGTTTATGTAGATGGAAAAACTTTGTTTTCTGCAAATCCCCTTGTGAATTGTGTTTTATTGTTCACATCTTCCTAACTGTAGCAAACAGCTCTTGGAGATTAGTTCCTGCCAGTTCCTTTGGAGACAAGTCCCTGTCTAATGTACCAGGTTGTTGCCAATAGGAGACAATTTCCATTTAGTCAGAAGCACTTTTTCCCTCTACTACAGAGATAATGGTTCCATGTCGCAAACGCGCAGAGATTTCTATAGCATTTTTTCTTTTTAAGATTTTGTTTTGAAGTAGAAGGAGGGTTTATTATGTTTTAAAAATTGGAGCCACATACAAAGAAACTGCTGTTCCTGATGTGTGTGCAGCTGGAAGTCTAGGAGTGGTAACTCACTTCATGGGACTGCACAAAAGGGCAGTAAATATTCCCTTGGATCGCAGAATCTCACAGAATTTCCTGCTAGGGAGGGAGCGACTGCATCAGCTCGCTGTCTGACAGTAAGAGAGTCTGTATCGGATGTTCCCACTGTTGATGGTGTTTCCTAATTTTGAAGGAAGGAGAAGCCACAACCTATTGTGCAGTTTCTGGAGCAGAAATTATTTTTATAAGCTGAGGTTCACATGGCGAATTTGGGCATATTCTGCAGTATATCCACATCAGGATCTTCAATTCTCCCCTCCACTTGCAAAGGAGGCCAGTCTTGCTATTTCAAACTTCCTTTGAAAATCTGCCCCACACCCCGTCTCAGACATGTTTGCCACATGCTTGGGTGTGTTTCTTCCGAGAGTCCTTGGCTTTGTGGAATCCACTGCACAATTCTTTGGATTATGGTTGTAGCCTGGAAGCTCTTCCTAAAATTTAATTCAAATATGTATCTCCAATATTTTGCTTCCCCTTTTTTCAGATCTGCTTACAGACTGATCTGTAAATGTATAGCGGATTCTTTTTTCTTCTTTTCACCCAGTCTGAATCTTTTAAAATTGTAGGACAAAATAAATAACAATTTTACATTCTGCAAGAATTTCCCTGTTTGTTACAGCAAGACTATACTTTAATTATTGATTTATTTAATGTAGTACCTGAAACACTCTTAGCAGTGAATGACATCAATAAATACAATAAAATGCAATACAGAATAAAGCATCAATAAGACCCCATAAAATCATTACTTAAAAAATTAAAATCATATTTTTACCAGTCTGTACCACTAAACCTGCTTAAAAACAATTGGCATCCCCCCCCCCCGGCACGTTCTCCTTGGATTTGGAAAATACCTCAGCAAAGAGAGGGGCCTTAACATGCTGCTGAAAAGATAGTAAAGTTGGTGCCCAGAGAGCCTCAGTGAGGAGATCATTCCATACTCAGAGGGCTACCACAGGGAAGTCTGGGGTACATCCTTTGGCTGGACTCCCTTCTCCGTATGCATTTCAAGTTAAACTAGCATTTTAGAATGCAAAATGTCCTTTGTGCAATGCAAAGTAAAATGTCCTTTTACTTGTTATCTTTGCAAAACACTTTGGCAACTTTCTGATGGGCAGTGTATAAATTCCTTTAAATAAACAGATGTGTGTATTTTTTTTTCCTTCAAGGGAAGGCATGATTTAATTAGGTTGTTTAGAGTTGGTTTCTCCCTATTGAACTAAAAATGGAACGATAGAGTGGAGGAAAAGATTAAAGTGCAGCCTACATATTTTTAAGAGAGCTAGTGAAAATTTGGCAAAGGGCCTTTCTTTCTTTCTGTCTTTCTTTCACATGTGCATTGAGGGAAATAACTGTTTTGATGCAGTCTCATGTTCATGGGTCTGTTTCAGTACTGCATTTTACAAAATATTTGGATACAAATGTGATCACCTCCCTAATCCAAATAGCCATGTATCTAAAATAAAATTATCTGCAGTTTTTTGCAGTTTTTTTTATATATATTGCAGTTTTTTAACAGTTACAAATAGGTTTCCAGTATGTCTTGTTTGCATTTGCTATGGTGATTTCTACCAAATCTGAACAGTTCCAGAAGTATATTACTTCAGCTTATCATTTAAAATATGTATTTATTTAAATAACTATAATAAATATTTATTATATTTACACCCTACCTCTCTCCCAGTGTGGGACTCAAGGTGGCTACATGCAGTTCCCAGGTAGTCTCCCTTCCAAGCCCAGGCCAGTCCCACATCTGCTTATCTTCAACACAGGTGGATGCTCTCTATGCCTTCAGACTGTATCCTTATATAATTAGTATTGGCAGGATTCATTTAGATGTGCTGTTGCTTTTCATAGGTTGGAATGCCGGGACCAGGGTGCAGGTGCAAGATGGAGGCCAGCAGCAGGTTCAGGGGGTGGGAAGCAAAGTCGTGTTTGCTTAATAGACCAGGGTCAGAACCAGGGAGATGATAGATCCAAGCAAACACAATCCAAGATACCACAGTCCAAGAGCACAGTCCAAGGCCAAGCTCTGGAATGACAGTCACATTCAAGAGCAAGGTGTGGTCAGGGGAGATGGATGCAGGTACCTGGGAATACTGTGGACAAGGATGGAAGCACAGACAGACTGGAGCAAGGCAGGTAGGTGGACAGGCGGTCAGGCAAGGCAAAAGAGAGCCGGAGCACAAGAGAGTCACAGGGACATCTCATGTTGCTGGGGCAAAGAGCAGCAGTGATCTTATATGCTGATCTCCGGGCCCTCCAGTTGCACTGCAGAATTGTTACTCAGCTGTTGCTTGCAAGGGGTTCCTGGCTCTTCGGGCCCTTGCAGGGTTGCTGAGGCCCTGATTCTGACATAGGGGGATTTCTCAGTTCTTCAGGGTCCCAGTGGCTGGTAGCTGGATACATGTGCTGAATCAGTAGTACTTCTCTCCCTCAATACACGTAGTTCCTCTGCCAGGGTTATTTTTTTATACTTAGACACACACACACACACACACCAGATCAAGAAAGCCAGTGTGCCATGATAGTTAAGAGTGTGGAGCTAGCAACTTGGTAAATCGGGTTCTAGTCCCCGCTCAGCCATGGAGCACACTGGGGTGACTTCGGGCCAGCCACTGACTCTCAGCCCAACCTACCCCACAGGGTTGTTGTAAGAATAAACTGAAGCTGTGTAAGCTGCCTTGGGTTCTTCACAAAAGGAAAAAGGCAGGAAATGCATTATGATGATGATAATCTCCCTCTCTGAGTATTTTTGTTAGGTACACTCCCCCTTCCTCCCCCCTCCTCCTCATCTATTACATTTCTATACCACCCATAGCTAAAGCTTCTCATGAAAGTGTATTTAGAGGTAAACTTTGGGAAGGGCTATAGCTAAGTACCAGATAATTTGTTTTGTGTGTGGATATAATCCTTATCAAATCTAGTTCAAAAGGTCTGTGCCAGTCAGTTATCTAAAGTAATATAATGCAGTTTCTTCTGATCATTGATAGCAGCATCAGTGGTAATAATGCAGAGCATTTGTTCGTTCGTTCATTGAACAAATCATTCATTGAACAAAGTAGGGGTCTCCTGGGTTCCTTCCATAACCAACTGATTGCATTGGCTGTTCTTATTTTCTAAGGGTATGTGCATTATAGAGTAACTGAACTGGAAGGGACCGGTACTTACTTTATTTGTGGCCAGCCCAAGGTAGCTTACACTCAGGTTTACATCCACAGATGCAGTCATGATCAGCCTGAAAAATTTAGACCAAAGATTCAGGTAGAAAGCTGGTGTACTGCAAAAACTCATCAGAGCCAGACTACATGCTGTATGCGAAG